ATCCAACAGTCATCACATCACTTTAAAGATCAATCATTGCATTATCAGCTCATTCCGAACATTTTATTCCACAACCTACCCTGTGGTTTGTACCGCTCTACTGACGAGAATAGAAACTTATCTTGAAAAGATATTACTTCACTGTGAATCAAATTATATCAACTGTCCCTTCCCGCAAATTTGGGTATAAACCATAGCCACTAGGTGAATCCCGAAGAACTGACAAGACTAGACAAAGTCTTGCGGGCAACTATTCAACCGTAGTACCAGATTATCTGGTGCTTTGGTTCGCCCCCTTTTCAAATCATTCCAAGGAAAGGCCGAGGATACATTTGATCATCACCAGTTTTTAGTCCGGCATACTAGAAGAATTGGTAGCACGTCTTTTCACCGGAATATTGCAATAACACCAAGATGGAGATTTCATCAAGGTAACATGCTCCCGGGGAGACTGACAGACAGATAGACAGACAGACGGACGGATGGACAGATAGATACCCGGTGACCAATATTTCGATGTGTCACAAATATAATGAGAGCCATCCTTTTTGACGATGAATATAAAAAAATATTTTCGAAAAAAATAAAAAACAAATATTTTTGACTTAATAATAGCACTGCGTATACTTAATAATTATTAAATTTTAGCGATAATATTTATCATACGCCTACCGTTTTTGAATATCATAATAAAATTTTTAAAATGTTAGCTCAATTTTAACAGATGCCCCCAAAATAAGGTCCATTACTATGTGATTTACGATTCTACAAGTCTGTAACGTTGGAAACTATAAAAAGTCTTGTCGTATCTAGATTTGTTTCTAACAAATTAAGAAATATGTAAAACTTTTATGTGCGGTCACTTCGTATGATAACGAATTTTCAGCTTTTGGATACATAAACTCTTTGACAACGATATTCATGTAGACATGCTTTTAAATCATGGTCTTTTAAGTGGTGATCTTTATCATTAGTATTGAACGAACCACCTTGAAACCGGCAGTGAGCAATCGGAGAATGTTTTTTTAAATCGTTTCCATTTGTCGCATTCATTATGAAATAGTTTGTAATTAAAACAGTTTTACTTCTTAAACTTGCATTACAATTTATTTATTTAAATTTAAGAGAAAAATTATAAACCATTTATTTAATTTCATTAAAAATATAATTTTAAATTTGCTATTGTCCTTTAAATGGTTTGTTTTCATTTAGAAAACTTTATTTATGTCTGCAAACACAAGAAATCAACATTTTTTTCAAACTTTTTTTTACAAAACGAAATTTTTCTAATTTTTTCCTATTCATTCGTTTTATTTTTATATATTTTTTATTACATTTAAAAGCATTTATTTTATTTATTTTCTCTTTGAATAAATAAATTCTTAAGTCTAAATGTAAGACAGTATGTTTGTGTGAGTGTGTTTGTTTGTATGTATTTTATATCCTCTTTCTTAGCAATAAAATTCCATTTAATATATGGCGCTTGTGTTTTGAACACAACAAGCACACAAACTTTTGCCAATGTATTATATACATGTGTATAAGATTTTAGTATGTATGTATATGGTTATATGTGTGTATAGAGTTGTACAATTGAAGGACACTTAATGCAAATGAGCCTTAAGTTGTTGAGTGCAGTTAACAGAAACTAATATTATGCTTGAATGGTAGTAAAATTTATGTAATAATAGACATTATACATATATACAAACTCATACACACACACATACACAGACATGAATGTTTATGTCAAGTGGCGTCAATAAGGCATAGATTATATTGTTATATATTAAATCCCTCAGTTAGTTGCCGATACACTTCAGTTTAGATAATACGATTTTATATTTGTTTGATTGCGAAAAAGGACTAATATGGCAATATTTTTAAGTTAAAGAAAAATCAGGTTTCTTACATTATGCCTCCATGATGACCGAAACTTCTGTTAATAAGTTTTGAAATTATAAACTTTTTATCTTTTTGAGATTTACCCACTGTGCACTGTGAGGCACAGTACATTTGTACACATGTACAATTTATAAATATGAAAAACTATCTAAATAATAAAAAAGTTTAACCCCAAAACTTCTGCGTATGATTAATATTTATTTACATTTATTACATATTAAGTATACGCTATGTTTGGAAAACATTCTATTGAAAACAAATTATAAAAACTATTTTTATTCTTTATCAAAATAAATCGCTGAGTCAATAGTAATAAATCAATCATTCAATTTCCACAAAAATATTTTTAAATATTTTTTGTCTATCTAACAACTTTTAAACACAAATACTGGCAATTTTTTTGAAGCCAACTAAACATAGTTGTTTTTTTCGGAATAAAACGAGAATACTTCCTATAATTTATCACTATATGACCCAGTTTATTTTGTCATGTATTAAATTTCGCTTGTTTGGTAATACAAAGCATGTTATAAAGTTTTTGTTTTGTTTTAATTCGAGGGCAAAATTAAAAGTTATTACAAAATGATAAAAAAAAAAACAAATAACTTAAAATTGCCTAAATTTAAGGCATAATAAATATTTAAAAAACAACAACAAAGTAAAATTTGTTAAGTTTTAAAACAACCGGAACTTGAAAAAAAACACAATAGCTGAAATTACTACATAAGCAGTTATTTTAAAACCTTTAAATTTAACCCTCCTTATAAGCAAAAAACTAACACGAAACCAATAAAAACAAAAAGGAAAACTTACAAAACCTTTACAACCCATATTGGTAATCATGAAAAAAAAGGAGAAATAGTTAAAAGTTATGGAAAATAAGTTGGCATAAGACGGAAACAGTTGCCAATAATATTTTGAGTGTAAGAAACCAAAAAAAGAAGAAATGTTAAAAACAAACTAACAAAATGACTTACACAACAAGGCACAGCTTGTCAAAATTTATTGACAGTGTTTGTTAAAGTGCATTACAGTTTGTTACTTATTTTTCAAATTTATTTTTATATCGTTTTCCTATGTTTTTTTTTTCTTCTTATGCTCCTTGTTGCCTTTCCGTTATTAATACTATAGCTCATCAATATTGTAAAGTTTGAAAATAGTTTGGCCATAAAAATATAATAAGAACAACAAATGTTACGCACAACGTATAGAATTTGTGTTTAAGTTAATGTTTTCCCTTATTTTTATACCCACTATCAAAAAACAGCACATGGAAATATTGGTCGTAGACCCAAAATAATATATTCTTGGGTCCATATATCTGATGTTTGTCTGTCTGTTTATCTCTCTTTTTCTCTCTCCCCCGGGGGTATGTTACCTTGGTGAAATCTCCATTTTGGTGTTATTGCAATATCCCGTCGAAAAGAGGTGCTATCAATACCTCTAGTCTGCCGGGACTATAAACTTGAAATGATTTGACATAGAGTCGAACCAGAACACCATATAATCTGTCACTACGGGTGGCCAGTTGCCCCCAGGACTTATCCTGGCTGGTGCAGTTGGTTGACATTCCTTCGGTATCCACGTATTGGCTGTGGTTTAAACCCAAATTCGCGGGGAGAGAATGTTGGTTTAGGGACTTTCCAATGCTGTTGCCATCTCCCCAGATGTCACTGGGTGATGTGAAAGAGCAACTTATTCTGGATTCCTGAACACTTTGAGTATCTCTAACTCTTCACGTAGTAGGGCGCCAGTATAGATTGAGGAATTCTCAGGTTGACACTTGGTAGTTGCCTGTCATTCCGTAGATCGTTCTTTATGATCTGAGAATGGAACTGATGTAAGTTGGTGAACGATCGGGAAAGACTCCTATGCCCGACAGGAGACTAGTACTAATTTAGAAGACATTTTACTTCAGGGAAGTTCTCGGCACTGTTGCCATATCAACAGGGCGCGACTTATAGTTAATACCTGCCACTCAACTTATCGGTGCAATTATTGGGTTCAAATTGACTTTGGAAATTCCAACATCTCTTGTCACATTATCTGATATATAGTAGGATCCTGATTTATTGGCTGGGTATTTCGGACTACCAAATACGTCTCTAGGTGCTATTGCCGAACTAACAGAACCATCTCAGTAGTGTGGTTGAGCAGGCTTCAAAGAATGTTTAACGAATGGTTCATTAGTTGATGGGGATTGCATTTTAAATAATGCAATCTTTCATGACATCAAAAGGGTGGTCACCTTCCGGTATACCGGATAATTGCTTTCACCTTATGCTGGAGTTGTCTCCCCTTCTATTGACTTCAGACCGGTGATTGATTTTTCCTTGTCGGGGTTTTCATTGGGAATGATCCAATGCTGCGGTGCTACTCTGGCAAGAGATTAGATAGCTCGATTACAGTACAGCAAAGTGCTTGTACATAGACCGGCACAGCCATGTACAAAAATTGCCACTTGTGTTCTTCATAGTCTACCCAGTGGATGAAATGACCACCGTGAAATAAGGTCGTCAAGACAGGTGTTCACGTTAGTCACTTTGCCATTCTTGTCTGTCTGTCTGTCTGTCTATCTGTCTTTCTATTTGTCTGTCTGTCCGTCTGTGAAAAAACGATAGATCTTAAATGTGGGGAGATTGAGGGCTTAATAAATTTGATGCAGTTTCATTTAGGATCAGTCCATAGTCATAGTCAGTCTGTCTTTCTAGTTGGCTGTCTGTCCGTTTGTGAAAAAACGATAGTTCCTAAATGTGAGGAAATTGATTCAATTTGATTCAAAATGTTCCTTTCTGGTTCCTTATAAGTCCTTAACAATCCATTTGGAATTGATTTATAATCATATTACACAACTTTTATATTTAAACAATTTATTAAAAAGTGGTTTAATAAATTACCCAAATAAACAATACAACAAATGAAGCCGATTAATCTTTCTAGGCCAAAAACTAATCACCCTTATTAATCAAGCAAATGTAAATGACAAGTAATTAATACAAATAACTAAACTATTAAAGAAACATTTATCTACTAAATATTTAACTAAAATGTCTAATAAAAGTTTTTCTTTCCTTTTTTTTTCCCAATATTTTTAGAACCGCTGGCGGTAGTATGCTGGGCGATGTAAATATATCTGCTATATTGGATTCCTTTAGTGTCAGTTATGACAAAAGAGTAAGACCCAACTATGGTGGTAAGTACAAAACTGCTAAAACACTCTAAATAATCATCATGTCTAAGAACTAAACAAAAACACTTTTTGAACTAAGTTCAAAAACCCGAAACCAACAACAAAACACAAACACTTAAACAAATATCATATTTAATGCTAGAAATCATCAATAAAATAAACGTTTTTCCCAAAAAAAGAGGATTAAAACAAAAAATAACTTTTAAGGCTGTAGGATTGTTTTCTTAAAATATTAAAAAAAAACTCATTTGGATACTTTTTGTTCTCATTTTTTTAACTAGAAAAAAAATGATTTTTTTTCTAAAATTATTTTAAGTTGAAATTTAGGTTATTGAAAATTTATTTTGTTTATGTTAAGAAATTTATTAATTTGTTTACATTTAGCATTGATATTGATACCTGATTTCAGGACCTCCTGTCGAAGTTGGTGTCACCATGTATGTGCTATCGATCAGCTCGCTATCAGAAGTTAAAATGGTACATAATTTAAAATAAATGTACCTTATACTGGTCTTTATTTTTAATTTTTTCTTTTAATTAACGATTTAAAATAACTCCAAGTTTTATTATTTTCTGTTATTTTAATTCAGTTTTGTTTCCTTAAACTATTTAGTATTGTCTTTTATTTGGTTTAAGCTCAAAAAAAAAAACTAGTTTGTGTTTTAGTGTTTCAAAGTTTTTTATAATTAAAAAAAATGAAAAAAAATAACAACACTTTTAATACTTTAATGCAAAATTTTTAATTTATTTAATGAAAAAAAGGCCGTCTTTTATTATTGAGTTTTCGATTTATGTATTTCTCTTCTGTTAAACTGGTTAACGTCTCTTTTAGTTTATTTTTTATTTAACAATTTTATTGCTCTTTACAATTTACGGAATTCCTCTTATAAATAAATGGAATATTTGTTCAATTAGTAACTACTTCTGAATGGACCAACAAATATAATAAAAAAAAAAAAACGTCTACAATTACAGGGTTTATTTAAAACTTTAACTCTATTGTTATTATTATAAATTATAATAATTGTGTTGCCATGTAATTTTCTAACTAAATAATACAACAAAACAGATGCAATGGTTTCTTTAAAGTTAAACAAATGAAATTAATTTAAACTTAAATAAATAATAATAAAAATAAAACAAACAAAAAATCATATTGAACATTCCAGCACTCTTTTATTAGAATGTTTTAGTTTTGAACACCTCCACCATTACTACTTAACTACTACTACTTACCTACTTACTACCAAAATCACCTTAGCCAATTAATTAGTTTTACACCTACTTACTCTTTTGTTTAGTTAGTAGTCAAAGCAGCTAATAAAGTCCTTTTAAATTTCCAAAAACCAAAAAACATTAAATACCAACCGTAACAGATTATTTATCCTTATACTTCCTGTCAACACAAAAATTCTGAAAAAAATACAAAAAAAAAAAGAAAAAATACTGCTCATTGGCGCTATTATTATAATTTCCATTTTTTTTCATTTGGTTCCATATTCCTAGAGAAATCTTTTCTTTTCTTCATACAGCTTGATATTTTATAATTTTCTTTTACTTACTAAATATTGCAATTGTTTTATTCTTATTTCCACATTTTATTTAGGAACTATTAGTTTAAACTTATTAATAAGATATTTTTAAATTGCTTTCTTATTTGGGAAAAAGCTTTAAAAAGTATAGAAAGAAAAACAAACAAAAATCACTAAATATTTGCTCTCTTACTATAGTTTAGCAAAGAAAAAAAAGTAATAAGCAAAAGCTAATTAAAATAAGCAAAAATCAAGAAAAAAAACTAGAAGGCTAAGAGTTTGATTTGGTTTTCATTCGTCTTGGTTTCATACAATCAATCCATCATTAATTTTACCATCAATCAGTTAGTCAATAAATCAAAGGATCCATCATTTGGATCAGGTTTTTTCTTTAGTTATAATAAAATAATTTTCACTTTATATCATTTGTCCCCCCTCTTTTCATACACATTTCTAAATTTAAGCAAATCTTATGCGTTTAATTGGTTTTCTACTTAAAAAAGTTTAGTTATTTTCAACTAAATTCTCTTCAATAGCTATGTATGTGTTACAATTTTATAGTTTTATTCTCAAGCTTTTAGTTCACTTTTCTAACACTCAAGTTTGTGCTCCATAAAATAGTTTTAATAATTCAAAGAATTTCAACTAGCTTTAGCACAATGAAAATTCACTCATATGAGATTCTCAAAGAATATAATTGGTTATCTAAGGCATTGGAACTTATCTAATTTCATCCTGAAAGAGTTTCACAAATATTGAAAGTTTCTTTATGGATTTTAGATTTATACTAAATATAAATACTAAATTTTGTTAGAAATACATATTCCGCTAAAAACCTATTCGATCTTGTTAAATATCAAAGGCATCATTTCAAAAGGAAAAATTATTTACACGATCAAGTATGCGGCAATTTGGACCAGGAGCAGCAATAGAAAATATTGAAATTGACATAAAATGTGCAAAATTTCATGTTCAATATCGAATAACGATAAATTATACTTGATAACGAATATGTTAATTTAGCCTCTGGTTTTATGAAAAAAAAATTAAGACAATTTCGAAACATTTTACAAAAATTTTGAATATTTTTGAAATTTAAAAAAAATATATATATATATATAAAAATTTCCAATTTAATGGAATATATAAACTTGTGAAAATTTGAAATTTATAAAAATTTTGAAAATTTTGGAAAATTTTAAATTAAGGACAATTTTTAAATATAATAAAATTTGTAATTTGTAAAAATTTTTAAATTTATTAAAATTTGAAATTTGTAAAAATTTTTAAATTTATTAAAATTTTAAATTTTTAAAAATTTTTAAATTTATTAAAATTTGAAATTTAAAAAAAATATAAAATGATATAAAAATGATTTTGAATACATTCTTGTAAAAATTTAAAATTTTTATGAAATATTCGAATATTTTAGAATTTTTAAAAATATTCGAATTTTTTACAAAATTTGCGAAAATTTTCCAGTTTTAGTGAATATTTCAAATTTTTGAAAAATTCGAATAACTGTGAAAATTCGGATAATTTAAGAAAATCTGCAATATTGCAAAATCTTAAACTTTTGTGAAAATAGCATATTTTTTTTTAATTTTAGATTTTATGAGGAAATAGAATTTTAGGACAATTTTGAACATTTAGAAATTTTCGAGAATTTTCTAGAAATTGGCCATATTTGAGACTTTATAAAACTGGGAAGACATATTCATTTATAAAATCACTTATATTGTCTAAGAGTTCAATCTGTCAGCTTTAAAATAAAGATTTAACTTCTATAATATCTTCATTATTCTTTGAGATATCTTAACTTAAAGATTGAAAAACTTTATTGGACGATATCTACGCAAGTGCAAGAGATTTTTAAATAATGCAAACAGTTTTTTAAGAAACAGATTTTTTCACAAATATGTGTTCGCGCTGTTCTAACGACTCAAATATAGCCAAATACAGCGATTTTTAAATTTTAAGGACTCGATATCTCAAAAATCTGATGTGATGGAGGAATTCTAAGGCTCAATCCTTAATTTTCAAATTATTAAAACCTTCGAATTTGAATTGTTGTCATAATATTGAAATCTTATGAATATTTTAGAAAAAAAAGAAATGGAAAACAGTTACTACTGATCGTATACTTACCCACTTTAAAAGCCTATACAAAATTTGAAGCTCTCCAACTATTACCGAGTTAAAAGTACGCAATATTCTCCAAATCATGTCTTAGGTTAGGTAGATAGGAGGATTTATACTACATCAAATCCAAACAAATACCCCTAGGTCACTATCGGTCCTGTTGTGCGCTCCTTTTTATGAAAAAAATAATTTGCTCACAGAATGTATTATTTTTCAATGTTCAGAAACTCAGTTTCCTGGACGAAATTCCTAAGAATTTTTCAATTAGTGTTAGTCAGGAATGTTATTTCCTGGATAGTGGCAAAGAAAGTGCTCTAGAGTTTCACTGTCCTCTGCACATGCTCCACATTCGTCTGAATCCGCATGTCCAATTTTGTTTAGATGTGCTAGTAATCCTGTCAGAATACCATCATACTAACCTCGGACTTGCTCATTTTGAGGAGATTTCTCGTCTTGCTTATCAGAGTCACCCCCTTTGTGGTTCTACCCACCATTTCATTATACCAAGAGGCCTTATGGGATTCTCTCACTCATATTTTTGATTTAGCTTTTGGTACGTCGACAAGTTCTGTGCGTCGACAAGTTCTGGATCTTAGAATATAGAATTCAAGCCCACTTTATACCCCAATTTAGAGCCATCTGTGTAACAACGGATTCCTACTGGTATTTGCTCTAATGTTCTGCTTGATCTGGGATCAGCGTATCAACGTTTCCGACATATTCTGTGTCTGGTATGCGATCAGGTACGTCCGATGATAGTGTATAACCTTCCAATGTATCCAGCATACATTAATGACGTGTCCTATAACCGCTTTTGGCCAGTTCGCCTAAAGTAAAAAGCCGTTCGGCTGTAAGTGCCGCCTCATATCTTAAATATGTTTCAATAGGTGGAATATATAGCAACATATCCAGAGCCTTGGTTGAAGTAGTTCACATGACACCACTTATACCCAAACAGCATGTACGTTGGACTCCCTGTAATAGTTTGATATTACACTTTTTGTCTTAATAACGTCAATACCTGCTTTCTCATCAGTGACTTCCGAACGAAATGCAAAGCTCTTCATTACGTCCCCTAAGGGGTTCTATATTTCATTCCGAAAACGATTTCCTTTAAAACGATTATAATAGGATTTTCAACATAATACTTTACGCGGAATAAGTTAGCGTCTTATTGTCAATATTTTTAATTTTCAGAGTGAAAAGTTTTTTCATTATCGTACCTAAGAAACACAATATAATAACATAAAATTAAAAATATTTTTATAACTCCATACAGGTTCTAATTAAGCCTTAATTTTTACCAAAAAAAAACACTATTTTCATATTATTTCTCTAAAGAAGATTAGGGTGAAAAAAATTAAGTTTTTTCTTCCATGTGGAACATAATAAAGCTATTAGAGCAAAATTTCCCTTAAGTCTCATAAGAAGTAAAGTCACAAAATGCAGGTCTCTGCTACCATATAAAGTGTTTTCTAGAAACATTATAAAACAATTAGAATAAAACTTTATATTACTAAATTAGAAAGAAAAAACCAAATGTATTTAACAAATATAAATGTGCATATATAAAAAAAATTACACAACATTAGCCTTTAAAATTTAAAGTTTAAATAAAGTACTTAAAACACACATACAAAAAGAAAGCCTGATAGTTAAATACACACAAAACCAAATACACTCTAGAACAAAAGAGGAAACACAGATATTAAAAAAAAAAAAACAATCTCTATACTTAGTTAATTAATTAACTTAAGTATGCATTGTATATACAGAATAAAAAACATTTAATTAAATTAAATT